CCGCGCGGGGGGCGGGTCCCCCCCATGCGGGGGGTTGGGCCGGCGCGCCCCCCGCCCCGCCAAGGGCAGCAGGAGCGCGGTGGCGGCTCCTTGCCGCGGGGCTGCTGGCAGCACCTCCACAGCGCAAAAGGGAACTTCAGAAATGCTGCTGAAACTCATTTCTGGCCGAACGTTCCCTGGAGGGTCAGACGAGCGATACCTGTTGATACCAAGTGCTGAAACTGTTTATAGATCGATAATCTGGCAGCATGGCTGCAAAGTGGTAGTAGCCCCGTATTTCTAACAAAGAAACAGAGGCACGAAGTGATCAATTCTGGCTGGAATTCAGTAGCTTCCGACAGACGCTCCTAATCGTTTAGCAGTACAGCCCGCTGACTTGCTTTGTACCTCAGAAGGAAAAACATGCAGGTCACCGCCTCGAGAAAGAGGAAATTTATACTTCGACAGTTCAATCAGTGAGTGCTTACAAACCCTGACTTAAATAATACTGCATGTTTTGTCTTGCTGTACTATTTCAAGGGCCCAACGAGATCTCTTTTATTACACGTCACTGGAAAACATGAAAAGGACAGCTCCTGTTATACCTCAGATAACACAGGGAGATATAAAACTACAGTACAGTAGCTGGGAGTTTATTATGGTAGTTACAAAAGAATGACTCACCTCTGTAAGTTTAAAACAGCTAATTTTCTCTCGAACTTTTTTTGGCTACGGGTCAACAAAAACTTCCTGAAGATGACTTGGAGCTCACACACGACGTATGTGCCCACCTGCCAGCTGACAGCAGAAAGAGTTTTGCTGGAAATCTGCCCAAGTATTTGACCACTAAACTGTCTTGTTCAGCAAGTCCATGTATACGCTACTTGTGGAGTAACAGTGTGCATCAGAACACAGGCCCTTAAAAGAAAATTGCAGAAATCCCCATTCCAGCAGTGGCTGTGACAAGTGGTTCAGCACATGGCTTTCTTTTTCACTAATGATAGATAAAGCTCTATTTTTTCCCTCAGCCGAAGCTTCACAGCGGCACTGAGCCGTGAGGTCTGCAGGTGAAGAGCGAGCGGCGTTCCTCCGAAGCGGGAAGGGAAGATGCTGTCTTTTAGGCCTCTTCACAAAGGCTCGAGGTAGCCCAGGGGTCGGGGCCGGGCTCCGAGGCGCTCAGCCGCCCGAGGGGAAGGCACCGCTCCCCCTGGGACCGAAGCGACCCGCGCCCCGCGGCCGCCGGGGCAGGTGCGAGGCCGCTGCAGGC